CTAGCAAAACAGAACAAGATCTTAGGGGTAAAAATGAATATGTAAAAGAAAAATATAACTTGTTTGAAGAATCTGGTGAAGAATACGAAGTTGATAAAATAGTAGACATGAGAACTAAATATGGAGAAAATTATTATTTGATAAAATGGGCAGGTAAAACTAATAAAGAAATGCTGTTCATTATATGATACGCGTATTTTTTTATCGTTTTTTATTAATAATAAATAAATGATTCCTTTATGATAACATAATTAGGATATGATGACATGACATGGGAGCCAGAGCATCATTTGCACTGTCAGCAAAAACTTGAAATATTTTTAAATAAATTGGGTTGTGGTTATAATCCTAAATCAAAAGAAAATACATCATTTACTACTAATAATAATGAGCCTTCAGCTAAAAAACAAAAATTAGTAAAGTTAATCAAACCACACATCACTACTACAACGCCTAATAATAACAATAATAACAATAATAATAACAACAACAATAATAACAAACAATTAGCCAGACATTTGCCTCGTAATAACTATACAAATGTATGTTACAACTTTTTTTTTTTCCAAACTTTGAAGTAAATTAATTAATTTTTTAATTACATAATAGGCTGATCGGCGCAGTATTGATGAATTATGGGATGACTTGAAAAAATTTGAAGGTAATTCTTTCTTTAGTTGAAAAACAATAAATTTTTTTTTTTTAAACTTTCCGATTTGATAAAAAATATTTATATATATTTATAAAAGCAATGAGATCTCGATCTAAATCCCTACCGAATGCGAATCGTCCCAATAATAATCTCAGACGTGTGTCCAAAGGTTCAATAGAATCACCACCCCCAACAGACTCATCTTCAGATATGGATATTGAAAATGAAATTCCACCAATATCTCAATATAGAACTAATTATTCATCGCCCTCAAATAATTACACATTGACGAGAGATAAAGATAATTACTATACTACTTTTCTAAATAATAATGGACAACAATCAATGGAGGGTATCAACACCTATCCTAATCAGTCCAGAAGTGCCAATATTCCTAAGGATGGTTCACACCCACTTGATGTTCCTCAGAATAATTCACATTCACCTATTGTTACTAATAATAGCTCACAAGTAATAAATGCCTCTTTAAACAGTCTACAGACACTTTGTTTTCCTCAGAATAATTTTCAAGCAACAAACTCTTTTTTAAATAATTTGCAAACAACAGCCACTTTTTTAAATAGTTCTCAAGTAACAAATACCTTTTTAAATAATTCACATGTACTTGATGCTCCTCAAAATAATTTACAAGCAACCGATCCTTTTTTAAATAACTCACAAGCAACAGTTAGTTTTTTAAATAGTTCACAAGCAACGAACACTTTTTCAAATAGTTCACAATCACTTAATGTTCCTCAAAATAATCCACATTCACATCAACTTAACAAGTCACCAAAGTTTGTTAATAACTTATTACTATTACTACTATTATTATGTCTGTTTTTTAAAATGGCAATCCTAACGAGTGTGTGTATTTTGTTTGATTAAGTAATCTGGAAATTACAGAGCAAAAAGAATCGAACGAATTATCATTAATAAATCCTACTTTTCAAGGAAAATGGACTGGTGGTTTTTACAAAATGGTGCGATCGCAAAAGATACCGATATATATTAGTAGAGTTCATATTGATCCTTGGCCAAGAATGACACCAGACTTGGAATTATTGTAATTAAAATATTTATTAAATAAATTTTTTTTTTGTTGATAGTAATCTTAAATACTGATGCATGCATATTATTATTTTAGCGATGCATTAAAATCTTTAGATAAAATAGTGCTTCAAAACCTTCATCCATTGAATTATGTTTTCAATGTTTTTAATCTTATTAATGGATATGGTCCAACTTTTGTATCGATGGTGTTTGTTTCAGGTGATCATGAAGCTATAGAGAGAGAGAAAATGATGCATAAATGGAGTGAAAGAGTTAGGTTTAAGAATCAATTAATTTCTAATGATTTCTATATCAGTAAAAGTATTAAATTATTTTTTATTTTATTTTATTTTTTATTGATTATTTAAAAAAAAGGCTTCATTTACAATTCTCAACGATTGGGTTTTATATTTTCTACCAAATAGTGGGAACATTAATCAAATGCTTCATATTCCACGCGTTGAATGCAATTTCATTCTTTTGCGAGTGAATAAAAGTTTTTTTACAAATTTTCAGAATGAAGCTATTACAATCAACAGTAATTTTATTAATGATAAAGATTTTAAAGATTACAAAACTTATACAGGTGCAGAAATGAATAGAGCCATAAAATTGCCAGAGAATCTTTATAAAAACTTTTCAGAATCAAATTATTGCTTATTATCACCACCAGACCAATCAGAAAGTTTTGATATGGAATGTTATATGAACTATATTGGTGCTAATATGTCAAATCTTGAAGATATAAATTTAGATTTAATACTTGTAAGTTACAAAAATAATTTTTTTAAAAAAAAAAAATCAAATAATTAAAATTATTTTTAAATTATATTATAATATATTATTATTAGGTTCATCCACTATTTATATATAAATTGCCATTCGTTGATAATTTTATGAAATTAAAAAGTCGAACAAGCCTTAAATTTTTTATGCTACCTAGTTTTGCTGATAAAGAAATCTGTCCACAAGAGATTTTAATTCCTGGTGGAATCATAATGCCAACTTTAAAGGCTCTTACAGAATTTGGTTCTTTGGCATACGGATTAAAGGAATACGTCAATAGAGTATTTATTGTTATTTTTAATGTTCATCTTTTAAATAATTAATTTCCTATTACATTGAATTAATTATTGTATTTATTAATACTTCTTTTTAGCATAATAATTGGGTAATTAAAATTCATCCGTATATTCTTCAAATGATGCTAAATACTTTTAGTTTATTAACTAAAACAGATAAATCTTCAGCTCAAAGGTAAAAAATGATAATGCTTTTTTTATCAAGTATTCATAATTCAGTAACCACCAAAAAAGTATATTAACGATATCATTATTAATATTAATTATGTAGACTTTT